CTTTTTAGTAGAATATTGATATTGATCTCCAATGCATGGGTTTCCCAGAGTGAAGTCTCAAGGGAAACTTCACAAACACTAAGTCCAGGTGTGTTGTCATACATTGCTATTCAGCTGAGGTGGGACTGAACAGGTTTAAAACCTCCTATAAGATAAGGAGATAAGAAAGGCAGGGTTGATAACCCACTGATGGTCTGTCCCCTAATTTATGGAGGAGATCAAAGAGGCCTAAAGAGATTTAGCCATTTCTTCAAAGTCGCACAGCTGAGTGTGGGAGCTATGATTACAATCCTAGGTTTTCCGAGCCCAAAGTCGATACCATTCAGACAATCGCTCCCGAGCCTGGCTGAGTATTCAAAATTATCAAGAATGATTTTGCAAGGACTAATGCCAGGACACCCTCCAATGGAAGGTATTCTTATTTCCAAAGTTCCCGGAAGAATTCATTGTGAAAACTGGATTTGAAAACAACTTCACTAACCTGAAAGTGAACTACCTGCCCCCGAATCTCCTGGGGTGTATGTTAACAGTATCAGTTTTAGGAAAACATATCAGATTTTCCAAATCAGAATATATGGGTTAGGTGCAAAGGATCTGAATTGAAAATCTAGATAAAGTGCTCCTAGTAATTTTTTTACACACAGAATTTTGGGAACTAGTGGCCTACACTATGTACATAAACGTTTACATTTAGGTAGATTTCTCTCTGGCTCTCTCTCCCTTCTTTACTCTTCCCTACATGGTTTCCCCTCTTCTTTCTTCCTCACTACTTTCTCTTGCAGTTCTTATTGCAATAATACTAACATTAATTTCTAAATTACATTTTACTTGATCTTTGTAGCCTGCAAGTATTTTTTAGTCAATAGCTATATATAGAAAAAAATTGGAACACACACACATACATACATGCCATTTTCAGTTTGCCTGTGGATTAAAAGAAAATGAATCTAGATTCTTAGGATAAACTTATTTTTAGATGCAGTTTTGTCCTTTATTCCCTAGCAAGTAGAATTTTGTATATATTTAAATTTTATTTTTTCCATAATTTAGATGAACTTGGTTCTATCCTTCCTTTTCTTGACAGGGTAAAATGGTATGGAATTTTTTTAATGAACATTTCCTGAATCCATTGATATAAAAAACAGAGGAAAAACAAAATACAAAATGTAGACAGAAAAAAAGATGAAACTGCAGAAGATAAAAGGACAAACTGAAGGTAATAAACCAATTACTGGAAGGCACGGAGTATAGGAGACTTAAAAAAGAAGGGAGATAGAAGAAGATGGGGAGCTAGAGAAAAATCTAGAAGAAATTAAATAGAAAAAAGAGGAGAAACCATATGTAATTTTTTTCAGTTTTATCGAATTTTTGTTTATTTGACCCCAAACACTCCTGTGAAGGAAGTAGAACATTTGCCAACAAACTCATGTAGCCCATGAGAACTTTAAGGTTTAAAGAGGTCAAGGACCTTCCTATGGTCTGATGCCAGGAGGTGCCAGAAGGTAGTAGCAAGAAAGTAGAATCCTGGTTTTCTGATTATTCTTTGAGCTTTGCTTTCTGTTTAACTAATCTTATAAAAATCTTTTTATACATTTTCTCCCTGTACCTCACCCCTCTGGCAAATATCATCTTCCTTCTAGGTGGTGGGGCTGGAAGAAATAGATGAAAGACATGAAGGTGGAGCAGAACCAGGGCCTGGGGTTTCACCTTTAACTTCAGCTTAATGGTCTGCATCTGCCTTGTCATGTCAGGGAAATCCTAAGTCAGGACACAAGTCAAATATGTTTTTGGTTTTTTAATTTTCCTTTTCTTGCATAACTTAGGCCAAAACTCAAGTTACAATTGGATGTGAAGGCTTAGTTTCAAGGTGACTGGAATTTCTTTCCTGGGTAGTTCAGATGTCCAGGAGGCCAATGACTGGGTGCCCTGACCCCCATGGCAGTAACTAGATTTGCATTTCTGGGGAGATACCATTGATGCTCATGATGACAGCTTACATGGAGTCCACAGTGAGCCAAATAACACAGTAGGACATTAGTGTAGCATACTTTATAACTTGCCAGCAATATCTGCCTTTTCTTTTTCATGCTTGGAGGAATGGGTGTTTTAAATTTCTTGTTTCGTATTTCTCCTCCACTGCTTAGAAGTAAGTACACAGGGATTGTCTACCTCCAATTGATTTCTATGGCACTCTGCTTACAGTTGTTTTTTCCCTACATTCAGAAATGTAGGAGATTGTTCCTTTGTAATTGAACTTGAAGACATAGCCACCTGTATTCAGAGCTCAGAGTAGGGGGAAGTCTGGGAGATAAGCTGGACATTGAATTTTTTTGTACTGTTATTAATAATTTTTAAATGATTGAAAAATGGAAGTAAAGTTGATATATAATGTTATATTAGTTTCAGATGTACCACATAGTGCTTTTAGAATTATATAACTTACCATGCAACCACCACTGTATATATAATAACCATCTGTCACTGTACAAAGTGATTATTATATTATTGACTATATTACCTGTGGTATTCGTGGTATTCATTAGATCTCCTTGACTTATTTTATAATTCGAAGTTTGTATATCTTGTTTCCCTTCACTTTTTATAGCCTTTCTGCCTAACCCTGTTCCTTCTGGCAAAGGGAGTTCTCTCTGTATATGAAGCTCTTACTGTTTTGTTTTATTTGTTCAGTTTTTAAAGATTCCACATATGGTAGCATTATATGTTGTCTTTCTCTTCCTCACTTATTTTACTTAGCATATACACTTTAGGTCCACCCATGTTGTCATGAATGGCAAGATTTCACTTTTTTATTGCTGAATAATACTCCATTGTATATATGTACATATATGCCACATCTTCTCCATTCATTCATCTGTCTATGGTCATCTAGGTTATTTCCATATCCTGGCTGTTGTAAAAAGATGGGCATTAATTTTAATCCAAATGGTACAGAAAGCAAAGATTCCAGATAAGGAACCAGCATGGAGCAAGGGATAAAATTAAGTGAAAAGAGAATAAAAGCTTATGGCAATTTGGGAAAAATAGGAAAAGTATATAACTATCTTGGATAAATTTTTCAAAGTTTGATGCATTGTTAGGTCCAGAGACCTCAGATACACACAGAAGAGATACCTCTCACTTCTTCCCAGTTTGTATGATTTGAAAGCTTCCATTAATTGTCACTAGATTATTTTATATACCTATACTTTTCCTATGCTAAGAATGGTGCATCAGTGGAAAAAAACATCACACAATTATCGTGTTTTCCTCCACTTATCTCTAATGCATGTTTTATGGGACAAAGTTGTGTTATCTGAGCAACAACAGGAGTAAAAACAGGGGCACAAAGATCCTGCTGTGTGTGCAATTCTTTGAAATCTGTTTTCCTGAACAAACAAGTTAGTTGAAAGAACAAAGTCTGAAAGTGAATCATAAACTCTTGTTTTGTTAGAGCAGAAACTGTTTTTGAAAACATCTCTGTTGGATTTGGGGGCACAGATGGGCAATGGGGACCAGGAGTTAACTATAAATTTCCAAGAAGGAGTTAGACCAACTGAAAAATCTATTGTGTCTTTTCTTTCTTTTTCTTTTTCAACAATTCAAAGGCAAGATAACACAAATTTTCAACACACTGAAAACATTGTACACTGTTTAAGGCTTCAAGTAAATGGATTTTGTTAACTCTCACATAAATGAGTTTAATAAATGGAAAAACCATCCTTAATATAAAAAGAAAGCTTTGTGAAGGCCCAAAATGAATTTTAAATTTGGCTGCTTAGGAACTAATGTAAATTATTGGTGATGACATTAAAAAAACCCTATAGCATTTGAATTATTTAAAATTATGTAGCTGAAAGAATTCCTCTAAATTGTATTACTTTCACTACTGGATGTTGATATTATTCTTTTGACTAGGAAAGCAAACAATATTAAATTTAAAAATACAAATACTTTGTATTTTAATACAAATTTAAACGCATTTAAAAGTATTTAAAATGCTTTTTTCTCAGAACATTACCGTATCTATTGGGAAATCTTTGGAAATCTGAATGAAATGTATATGGCTACATAGAATGATTGTTTAAATCATTCAAATGCTATTTGAAATTTCTGTTTTAAATTACATTCTGAGGTTTAAGATTAAAGAGTCCAGGTTTTTATTTATACACACATAATGCTTTGGAGATATTTGTCCATTCATAAGACTTGGGTGACTTTAAAAATGTCCAACAAGAGTTGATCAAGCAAAAATAAAATATTGACTTACGTTCTTTGAAAATTATTTCAAGGATAAAATCAAGAAAATTTTCCTAAATTATAAAATAAATAAGTTAATAAAAGTTCCCCACATTTGGGTAATACATAAATACCCAAGTAACACTGTTTTGGGAATCCCTGAATTGAGCTCTGTGTTCAGCTCCATTTGCTTCTGGCAGAGGAACTGACTGATAATCAACAAAATTGAATGGCTAGAAATTTACAAAAGAATGAATTTTGTTTTATGACTCTGTGATTTTTTTCATTGATTTACAAAATGTTTGATAAATGTTGCTTCCATTTTCATGTCTGGCCATATTTAAATGTCAAGGACATAAAACTATAAGGTTAGTTCTATATATGCTGAGTTTTCAAACAAAGTTATTCTACTAGTTTCTTAGCTTGTCATGATCTATCAGTGTAAGCATTGGCAAACCACTATTTTTGCTTCATACTATTGAGTGTCCACAATGTTCCAGAGAATGGTTGGTGGGCACTGCCAGCCTCCTGATGAGCATTCAGTGATCACCTGTTCTCTGCACTGTGTGGTGCTGGCTCTCAGGCACAGAGTCCCTTTGAACATTCCGTTTAGGTGTGGCATGAATGTGATTTTGTTTACAGGGCAATGGTCCTCCTGGTTACACTCTGCCAGGAATTGAGGCTCTTTCCCAGAAAGAATACTTTTCTAAAGGGTAGATAAATATCCCCTCCCATTATATGGAGAGTTAATAAGATAACCACAAACTACAGGCACACACCCAAGGACAGCGTTGAGTGTGAAAGCTTGAAACACGATTCTGTCACAAGGAAGCCTGATGGCATGCTGAACACCAGATAGATGACAGGGCAGAGAAGCCCACAGACCAGAGTGTCAGCCATGAGTGAGCAAGAAGGCAGACACTTCCCAGGCACCTAAGTTATACACAGGAGAGGGTAAGAAGAGTTAAAGAGAAAACCGAGAACAGGATCTATCTATAAGGAGTGGCAGAAAGGTAAGAAAGCCTGCATGCACACATTTATCAGTTGACATGTTGAGGTGTAATGACATAGACTAGAGAAGGTGTAGTTAATGAAATAAGGTCTGTGTCCTGAGAACACAACCCAGAGGAGACAAATATGCAGATAGTCAGCATGTGAGGCAAGCAATTGCACCTCACTATAGGTATGAGCTGAGACCTGGAGCAGCACCAAGGAAGGGAATAGTAACTCTGCCCTGAGACTGTGGGGAGTGTCTGCTGAGGAGAACAATTTCAGTTCTGTCATAGAGAATGATATATGATTTTTAGGTGCAAATTTAACAGTTAAGTGTATACTTTCCTTTCACTGGCATAAATCAATGAAAAGAAAATATGCAACTGAAGCATTGTGAGAATTTCAGTGTGGCTGGAGCAAAGGCATTATGTGAGAAAAGAAAAAGGGATGGGGTGGAAAGAGCTGGGATTGGAGGGATGAGATTCACAGGGCAGTTTAGAGCAAGGCTATAAATAATAATATAAATTCCCGTGGCATTTAGATTGGCCTCTGAGGAACACTGGAAGGGTGTGTGTGTGCATACATGCTCAATGTGTGTATGTGGTTGTATAGATGTTTATTTCGTTGACTGAGGATGAGAATAGAGATGAAAGGGCAGGCTCTGAAAGAACAATAATGATCTTAATCTTGGTCATTTTCCACTTAAAATGCTATAGGACCTCCATGGAGAGATGACCAGACTGCACATGGACTTATTGTACAAGTGTAAGGAAATCTTTAACAAAATAAAACCCAGAGACCAACCTGTATCTACCTAATCACTTCCCAAGGGCCCCACTTGCTATTACCATCATACTGCTGTCCGGATTCCAATGTAAAATTTGGGAGGGACACAATCATTCAAATTATAGTAGTTTGATTTGATCTGTATTGCTTAAGGATTGAGACATGGTATGCAGGCTGGTGTCAGGGGTGAGTCTAGATGAATGAGTGCACTTTTCCACCAGAACTGATACTGATATCAGATTATTTGGCTTGTTTCTAGGGAATTACTGGGGAGGGATTTTGAAGAGTTCAATACTGTTGAAATTTTCAATGAGGATGAAGTTATATTGTTGAAAAAACTACCAGGCCTCCCACAATTTTGACTGTCATTTCTTGGCTCGGTGGTTATGTATTTGAGTATATAGGTAAACCAGAACAGAATTAATCTAGACAGCTATAATTCACACAGAAATAGTGCCAAAGCACTAAGCACCACATTTGATTTCCCTATTTTCATAGAAAGACACCAGGTTGTCAAAGGCAAGCCATACTGAATATTTAGACCTTAGAAACTTGACATTGGGAAGTAAAGAATAAGGAGAAATAAAGTTCCTTCAAAGAGACATCACCGCGATACTCAGGGCATCAGTCCTACCACAGAGCAAAGTGCCTGACACATAGTACATGTTCAATGAACAAAGATATATATATGTATATAAAGGTATCCAGCCATGCAATATGAAAAATAGAGGCATTTATTGAAGAAGATACAAGATATAAGAAACATTGTATGTGGGACAATGATGCCTCAGTTTCCTTCAAAGTATGCACCTTGGGACACAGTTTCCCCAATTACCATCAGCTGCCCCATCATAATCTCATTAATGGTCTGAAATCTCTTCCCTTTCAAAGGTGATACTAGTTTGGGGAAAATATAGAAGTCACAGGGCACCAAATCTGGGCTGTAAGGAAACTGAGTCAGCTGGGTGATTTGATGTTTCAACAAAAAACTCTGCATGAGACATGACACATGGAATGGGCACATTGTTGTGATGAAGCTGCTTATTACCCATTGCCCATAGCTGTGGCCTTCTGAATCATCTGAATAGTTCTCATGGACAGCTGTTCAAGCTTAATGCAAAATCTGATGCACATTCATTGCTGTACTTGCTTAATCATTTTGAACATGAGGGCCACACAATATACATGCTCAGTCAACAGCATCTACTGCCCCCACTGACTAGTACAGTGAAGTTATAATGTGTCATTATTCACACATGCACATTCCTGTCTACTCTCCTTGGCTGCCAGGTTACACCGGTCCTGAAAACTGTTCTCATTATATTAACAATGGCTGGTCTTTTCCCAGACAGATTTATGAGGGTAGACCCCTTCCCTACCCCCAGAAAAAACACTAGAATTATCTTCTAGAGGGCTCACCCCTTGTAGAATAACTACAACAACTAAATTCTGAAAAGAGCTTGAAATCTAGCTTGATGTTAAAGGTGAAATGAAAACCCAATCATGGGTTTTCAAAGTAGCCATGTGACAAGTGTTTTATTTGGACCAATGTTGAAGAATCCAACCTTTAGTTACTAATACTAAGAGGCCACTGAATTCCTAAAATTTGAGAGAAATTAAGTGATGCATTAATTTCTCCTTTTTTCTGTATCCTTAAGAGTATTTGGCTGTCATCTATATCTATCTATACATAGGTAGATGACATAGACTATATATAATATATAGGCTATATATTAAATACTGCCTTGATTCTATAAGTAGCATCTTCCAAAATTCAAAAGAAAAAGATATCATTACTATCCTATTTAATCTTCATCAGTTTAAAGCAGTGAAAAAATTGCCTAGATTTTCCAGTGACTAAGATATTTCTGGGTCTCACAATTGTCTCTTTTATGGGTTTCAGATCATAATGATTCTACTGTGCACATTGGCCTTGAAAGTTGCATACCCATTTATAAAAGAACTTTGTTAACTAAAAACCAGCAGTAGATTGAGAAAAAGAAAATTCAAATTTTGATTTTGAAAACATCAAAATGGGCATGCCTAGATGACCAAAACTCATTAAAATTAACTAAGGATAATGTGTTAAGCTTTAAAAAGACAAATATCAATTGATCATAATAAGATGGGGGCATAGGTAAACAGGGCTTGCCTTCTCACACAACAACATTGAAATTACAACTAAACTATAGAATAAGCATCATTCAGAACTGTTGGAAATTGAGCTGATGGAAGTCCTACAACAACAGAATTAAAGAAGAAACCACATCAAGACTGGTGGGAGGGATGCAGACACAGAATATGCTGTTTCCATTCCCATGTGTTGCAGATAAAAATCAGTAGGGATATATCAGGAGTCAGGGGTCCTAATCACACACCAGTCTAGGGTTTCAGTGCCAGGTAGAAAAGTATCCATAATTTCTGACTATGAAAACCAGCAGAGATTGAGTCAGTGGGAGACAGAAACTGTTGGAACATCAGACAGTTCCTCTTAAAGGGCCCAAGCACAGATTTACTTGGATTTACTCCCTTTGTGCTCTAGTACCAGGGCAGCAGATTAAAAAGCATCAGAGACATACAGGGAAGAGCGGAATTGTCCAGCATCAGGGTGAGACCTGTGGGGCAGCTTTTTCTCAGACATAAGTGCTAGAAGAGGCCACTGTTTCTTTTCTGAGCTCTCCTCCCACAGAGCCACAGAACTGGCAGGCAGGCACAATATCTCAGACTCCATCAACTTGGCTCACATTGTTTGCCCCACCCTGATGATTCCTTGAGGCCTTGACACACCCAGGTTTCAGGCCCACCCAAGCTGTTTACAGTGGCTTTTCCATAGGAATATCTTGTTTTGGTCCTTGATTCAGATGTTCCTCAATTCTCTCCCATAAAAAACATTTGGCTAGAGCAAGCCCAGTACTTTTTGTTAAGTTGCCCCAGGCCTTAATTCACAGCTTGGCCTCTTCTGGGCACCTCCAAGATGAGCACAAGTAGTAGCCATCTGCAGAATGTTTTATAGCTTATGCTGTATGACTCTGGACAGAACACCATTGGTGGCTGACCTTGGACATGCAAACATCAATCAAGACTCAACTATAAGAGGAGAGCGTACACAACCTACACGGTGGGCACACTTTGACTATACAGTTTGGGTATAGGGCAAGCTATGCCACTGGACCCTACAGGACATCTATGACATTAGGCCACTCTATCAAGCATGGGAGACATAGCAGTTCTACCTAATACATGGAAACAAACACAGGGAAGCTGCCAAAATGAGGAGACAATGAAACATGGCTCAAATGAAAGAACAGAACAAAACTCCAGAAAAAGAACTAAACAAAATGGAGATAAACAATCTCCTAGATGCAGAGTTCAAAACACTAGTTATAAGGATACTCAATGAATTTAGTGAGTACCTCAGCAACATAAAAAAAAATCCAGTCAAAAAAGACAGATATACTAATTGAAATGAAGAAAAATTTACAGGGAATCAACAATGGAGTAGATGAAGCCAAGAATCAAATCTGTGGTTTGGAATATAAGGAAGCAAAAAATAACTAGTCAGAACAGCAAGAACAAAAAAAAATTTAAAGGGGGATAGTGTAAGGGGCTTCTGGGACGACTTCAGGTATACCAACATTCTCCTGATAGTGGTGCCAGAAGAAGAGAAAGAACAAGAAATTGGAAACCTATTTGAAAAAATAATGACAGAAATTTTCCCTAACTTGGTGAAGGAAATTGGCATACAAGTTCAGGAAGCACAGAGAGTCCCAAATAAGATGAACCCAAAGAAGCCCCACACCAAGACACATCATAATTAAAATGCCAAAGGAAATACAAAGAGATAATCTTAAAAGCAACAAAGAGAAAAACAGTTAGTTACCTTACAAGGGATTTCCATAAGACTGTCAGCTGATTTCTCAAAGGAAACTTTGCAGGCTAGAAGGGATTGGCAAGAAATATTCAAAGTGATGAAAAACAATAATCTACAATCAAGATTACTCTACCCAGCAAACCTATCATTTAGAACTGAGGGACAGATATAGAGCTTCCCAGACACTAAAAAGGGAAGAAGTTTATCATCTCCAAACCAGTATTGTATGAAATGTTAAAGGGTCTTCTTTAAGAAGAAAAAGATGAAAAATATGAGCAATAAAATGGCAGCAAATACATATTTCTTAATGATCAAATCTAAAAAAAAATAAGCAAGCAGAACAGAAACAGAATCATAGATACA